AAAGCGAGCTTGCATTGAGCTCCACCAGCCTTTTCATGGTTACATCTTTAATTTAGTTAATTGGGACCTATTTTTATCAGCAAAGCATATTTTTGGCATGCAAAAAGAAACCATAGGTTAATGAGAATTTCCTAGAACTTTTCACATAAATAGTAAGACTGGCCTGTAAATTAATTCCTTTTAAAATAATTCATTGTAATGAATGCTTTACTGAAAAATGGAAGCCCGTAAACTCATTGGTTTTCAAATCAAATAGTAAACTTTCTGTAATCATGATCCTCAGTAACTAATGTGTTTAGCCTGTCATGTGCTCCAAGATGTCCATGGAGAATCACGCCACATAACATTTCCAGATGGACAGCCCTGTCCTCATTCCAGAAGATCATGCTAATATTAGAACATTCATGATACATCTTTGGCCAGGATTTCCCAGCTCAAGTCATACACAGTTGTTCTAAAAGTACCAAGGAATCGATCCGTCTGTGAGACGGTAAGAACGGTGTATTCATGCCACCAAGAATTGTCAAGGAGTTACTTTCTTGGAGCAATCTTAACAGCTCTCGGAATGTTTCTACCAATGCACAAAATCTGAATAGATGGTGCTGGAGGAACCATAGCTGATATCTCACTACCACATCTTTCCCATTTCATTATTCCTCAAGTCTCAGGTTCAACATTGCTCCACTTTGAATAAGGGAGATACCAAACTGGAGAGTGAAAAGATAGAAAAACAGCTTGGCAACTTTAAAAACTCTCAGATGAATACAGAGTTAAAATGAAGATGTTATCTCCCTAAAAGTCATAAGAACGTTATGAAATTATGTACATGTCAAGAGAGTCCAGCTACGACTGGAACGTGAACATCTGCCGTGCTGTCCAAAACCAGACTTACCCACAGCAGTGTACAGTCTAAATAAAGACAGGCAAAGGGTTGGGGTAATCTGGGCTCTTCTACTTCCCAGCTGCTAACAGATCACGTACAGATCCTCTGGCTGGGAAACGCTCTATTTATTTCACTGTTCAGGCAGTAGAGATAAGTCCTTACGCTGCAGGAACTGAGATATCACCCAGATTCTTCCTGCGCCAAACCACTCCCATGAAAGATCCTGTTTTTCACTCACAGGGACCAGTCCTCCACAGGCAGCAGGAGGAATAGGTGGCTGGATGCATTTGCCTTGCTACGGGTTACATTTGTATCACCTGGATTGCTTGCTTCTCGGTCTCTCCTATTACTCTGGCTTTTAGTTCAGTAGCACTCACTGAGGACGAGTGTTGTCAGACTGATAACGGGAGTCCGACTGAACTAAGTAAACTAAAAATAGGACTGACAGGAGAAAGAGAAGTGGCCAGAAATATGACCCTAGGGAAGAAAGACACTTGCAGTTTCTGCAAATGAACCTAACTGGCTTGCAAGGATCAGCTACCTTTTTTAGGGTATTGTTCTCAAGGCCACCTCTGCCAAAGCATCACGTGCATGTAGATCTCTGAAGAACTTTGTTTTATCTACATAAAGGCATGCTTGGGTTATGCACAGGTCTTGTTCAGTAGCTTGCATGTTCAGTGTGCAGCCTGTTCCTCTACAGCTGCCAGGGTGTCCTGTGAAATCACGGTGAGTTATTTGCCAAGATAATGAAAATACAGGCACGTTCACTTGCGACGCGGGGAGAAGTAAAGGAAATTTGTTCTGACCCTCTAAAGGATGCTAATAACTCGCTACAGCCTTCTGTTTCAACTAAAGCTATTAAACACTATCAATTCCTGTTCCAGGCCTACAA